GCTTGATCTGTGCAGATTTCTCTCCTGATTCAGACCAGAACACTTTTTCACTGGAGGAAGCGTTATTATGGATTATGGACTCTATGTATTTTAGTTAAAAACGTCTTAATGCTGGATTTGTTTCAGCTTTTGTCTTCTCCAGATGTTAACTGATGGACTGGAGTGCTGTGGATTGGTCAGCAAGAGATAGAATGTATATATGTAGATATTAATATTTTCAAAAGTTTTTTTTTTTTTTTAAAATATTAACTTTTTTATTCATCAAGGACACATTAAATTGATCAAAAGTGACAGTAAAGACATTTATAATTTTACAAAAGATTTCTATTTCAAATAAAGGCTGTTCTTTTGAACTTTCTGTTCACACAGTTTCCACAAAAATATTGGGCAGCACGACTGTTTTCAACATTGATAATAATCAGAAATGTTTCTTGAGCAGCAATCAGCATATTAGAATGATTATAATATAATATATTATATTATGAAATATAGTTTTTGTGGAAACTGTGATACATTTTATTTTTCAGGATTCACAGATGAATATAAAGTTCAAAAGAACAGCATTTATTTGAAATAGAAATCTTTTCTAACATTATAAACGTCATTACTGTCACTTTTGATCAATTTAATCCGTCCTTGATGAATAAAAGTATTAATTTTTTTTTTTTTAAAGTAGTGTATCACAGTTTCCACCAAAATGTTGGGCAGCACAACTGTTTTCAACATTGATAATAATCAGAAATGTTTTTTGAGCAGCAAATCAGCATATTAGAATGATTTCTGAAGATCATGTGACACTGAAGACTGGAGTAATGATGCTGAAAATACAGCTGCGCATCACAGAAATAAATTACACTTTAACAGAGATTCACATAGAAAAAAGATATTTTAAACTGTAATAATATTTCACAAATGTTACCATATTTTTGATCAAATAAATACAGCCCTCGGTGAGCATAAGATACTTCTTTCAAAAACATGAAAAATACACCACAGGTATCTATATCTTCCTTATATACAAATATATTATGTATGTAATGGTTACTTATAATTCATATCATGCTGTTTGAATGGAATGCTCATTATTTCTATAATTTTGTTTGGACTCAAAATGACCAGATTCACCTTTAAATGCAAACCAGCAATATAGTTTATATTGATGCAGTGAAGCGTCAGAAACGGAAAGCTCCCGTGTAAATGTGAATATTTGAGGATGGTGGATCTGCTGAGGCTGCAGAACAGACAGAAACTCTCAGTGTGATTTAATGGGGATGAAGGGATGAACCGATGAACTTATTAAACTCCCACAGTCCATGCCTGAAAGTCTCAACTCTTATGAGATTTACCTTGAATCATTAGAATTCTGTGTTTTGAAAGCCTGTTCATTTTCTCTCTGCAGTATGACAAGCACCTGTATATTTCAGAAATAAGAGCAAGGCTTTATATTGTTGGTTTCCGGCAGAAGCTCGTCTTTGTTGAATCTTCTCACGGAGATCCCGGCCGACTCGGTTCATATTCACGACGACACCTCAGTGTGAAATGACTGTCAGATTAATCACAAAGCACTGAAAGTGAGGATTTAGAGTCTGTCTGTCCTCTCAGGCTCCGGCTTTCACACAGCAATACTCAAACACTCGCTCACATGGCTTTAGAAATCGAACGGAGTCATCCATGTGTTTAATTATCCTAAAATGTTTTGTGTTTGTGAAGTTTAACATGTCTGTATGAAAGAAGTCTCTTCTGCCCATCAAGGCTGTGTTTATTTGATCAGAAATACAGTAAAAATTGTGAAATATTATTACAATTTAAAACAGCTGTTTTCTATGTGAATATCTGTTAAACTGTAATGTATTTCTGTGATGCGCAGCTGTATTTTCAGCATCATTACTCCAGTCTTCAGTGTCACATGATCTTCAGAAATCATTCTAATATGCTGATTTGCTGCTCAAGAAACATTTCTGATTATTATCAGTGTTGAAAACAGTTGTGCTTATGAATATTTTTGTGGAATCCGTGATACATTTTATTTTTCAAGATTCGCAGATGAACAGAAAGTTCAAAGAACAGCATTTATTTTCTGTGACTTTTAATCAGTTTAATATTTTCTGTGACTTTTAATCAATTTAATGCGTCCTTGCTGAGTAAAAGTATTAATTTCTTTCAAAAACAAATCTTACTGGTCTGACGTATAATATGCAATTTCAGAAGCTGCAAAACTCATTCTGTAAAAACATGGATCATAAATTTAGATCTGAAGCCACAATGCCAGTATTTATTATTAGCCCCATGGATAAAATAGTCTGAAATATTGTGTTCAGAATATTCACTTCATCTTATTGCCCTCATAAACATTTGTCATCTGTTTAATCTTCGAAACCAAGGTCAGTTATTGATTTTTATAGAGTAAGATACTTAATACCCGAGTTATGAATTGCAGTCAATGTTTCAATGCTTTGTTTGTAAGGTGACTGAATTTGAACAGCGCCTATAAATAAATAGGATAGTTTTTTCCTGAGGTTAAATTTATGGCACTAATGAGTTGGGCGGCCCGAATCACGCAGAATGACAAAAACAGACCCTCCTTCTACGTGTCCCGACTTTCCCAAGATCCCATGACTGGGACGCTCAATCCTCATCAGATCCTCCCCTCGGTTCTAGAGGAACACAACGGTTAATCTCCGTCTCGACTGGGATGCGATGGTGAAATAAAGTGAATGGCAGCATGTGGTATCACCTTGTCACTCCACTTGGCATTGCAGAACACGCAGCGTCTTAGCACGCTAGCTAAATTGACACTGGCATTGTCGAGACGAAATGCTGAGGAGGGGCTCCCAGAGGACTTGCGCTGGCATTTGTTTGATAAACGAGTGACTGTGACATAGTGCCACACAGCATCTTCACACACACGGCTGTAGAAAGATGCGACTTCAACTGAAAATGTCAGACGTGTTGAGTTGAGGATCGAGAGCTGGCTGCATTAAAAAAAAAAAAAAACACTGGAACCAAATGGTTTTCAAGACATTTGGTTAATAAGTTTCTCACAAATCTCATCTCTGCTTGTGAAAGTTGTTGCGTTTGATTGCTTGTGCAAAGACTAAAGCAAAAAGCATCTAAAGAGTAAACAGCGAGTTTAATTCACAGCATGATTCATTGTTTTCAAGGTTGGGTCGCTGCAGTTTCAGGTTCAGCATCCACATTTATTTCAGACCTGCGTTCCAGATTTCTGCAGACTAACAAGCTTTGACTTGCAGAGTTTTGATGCTTTGCCTGACGGTATGACTTGTGTGGGTGGTTTATAGTTACACGCTGTCGGGTCGTATAAAGAGATGCACAAAATAGCAAGACACTACAGGAGAACAGGGTACAAACTAATAGATATCAACTAATTTAACTAATAGATATCACCACACCCAGTTGATTAATCACAATACATTAAGACACTTGTTTTGTATTACACGTTTTTTTTAAATGTCATGTTTAAATACGCAAATGAGGCACTGTCTAATGAAATATCCACTAATTTGCATTAAATTTACAGAACAGATAAACATTGGTTCAGAATTCTTGTTTGATTTTGTTACCATATTAGAGTTAAAGGTTTTTATGGAGGAAATTTTGGATTTCTCTTTTTATCACTCAGGAAATAGTCAACAAACAGAAAAAAATACATTTTAACCATGTTTTTAGAAGTAAAATGTTAAATACATATCAGACAAATGATATATGAACAAACCCCTCAGTAAAAATTTTCAGAATATAGATAAGAATAAAACTCTAAGTTTTGGTGTATGTAAGTGCTGCTGAAGTGGAGAAAAAACTTTTAAAGATATGTATTGGAATTTAAATCTATAGGCGCAAATAGATAAAGTATAATAAAACAAATGCTTAAATATGTATTTTGGATGTTGTATTTCCACTAGTCTGAACATTGGTTCAAAGTTCTTCTTTGATTTTGTTGACAGAGTTAAAGATTTTTACAAAAGGGATTTTGGATTTCTATTTTTATCTCTCTATAAATTAGAAAATGCTGTCAACAGACAGAAAAAATACATTTTTGCCATGTTTAATAACATGTTAAATATATATCAGGTGAATGATATATGATCAAACACCTCAGTAAAAATATTCAGAATATAATTAGGAATAAAACTGTAAGTTTTGGTGTATGTAAGCGATGCTGAAGTGGAGGAAAAACTTTTAAAATATGTTTTGTAATTGAAATCTACAGATGCAAGTGCATTAAAACAAATGCTTAAATGTGTATTTTTGATGTTTTATTTCCACACTAGTCTGAACATTGGTTCAAAATTCTTCTTTGATTTTGTTGACATCTTAGAGTTAAAGATTTTTACAAAAGGGATTTTGGATTTCTCTTTTTATCACTCCATAAATTTGAAAATACTGTCAACAGACATAAAATATAAATTTTCGCCATGTTTAATAAAATGTTAAATATATATCAGGTAAATGATACATGAACAAACCCCTCAGTAAAAATCTTCAGAATATAGGTAGGAATAAAACTGTAAGTTTTGGTGTATGCAAGTGCTGCTGAAGTGGAGGAAAAACCTTTTAAAGATATGTATTGTCACTGAAATCTATAGATGCAAACAGGTAACGTGTCATAAAATAAACACTTAGAGTAAATGTGTATTTTGGATGTTTTCTTTCCACTAGTCTGAAAGAAGACATGTTATGGAACCAAAATTGACCAGTGCATAAAAATAAAAAAAATTTGCCTGTCGTATTTTGCCTTTTTCTGTGGTGTCCACTAAGTTCAGCAGAGTTGAGTTAAAAAGGCCGTTTGCAGCTGTAATATGTGAAACGCTTTTATAGATGTAGATTATTCACATGCATCAGACATGCATTGCTGCTTCTGCACTGATTCATGCAACATTAACATGCATATATGGTTCCTTCAGCGCTCCATTAGACTCTAAATGGTGCGTAATGTGTGAAATGGTATGATTAGAGATTGAAGTGTTTTTTTCCTCATGCAGATTCGATGGACCAAGACAGCAGGAAGTGTTTCGGACCGATTCCAGGACTCCAGCGTGTTCAACGAAACCCTCAACATCGCGAAGATCCACAGACATCAGGGTGGCCGCTATTACTGCAAGGCCGAGAACGGACTGGGTTCACCGGCCATCAAGTCCATCAGGGTGGACGTCTACTGTGAGTTCAGCTCAGATGTTTGGTCTAAATGTCCTGTGGAGAAATAATAGCACTGCAAATGAGTCACTAGTTGTAATCCAGCAAATGAATGTGAAGCAGTTCAGATCATTTGATAAGAAATGTTTGAGTTCATATTGAGATCTGACTTTTGATTTGCAGCACAGTTTGAGAAATGTGAGATTGCTGGGCTGTTTTTTGTTGGAGAAACATTTGAGAAGCAGGTTAATCTCGATGCAGTTTAGGAGAAACAGCTGAGATGTTACAGAGATCTCACTGGTGATTACTCTTTTCTGTGAGTGGTTTCTTTGTGTGGATTGTTGGTGAATCACAGTCAGTGTGAACAGTGTTTTTTTTTGGGGGGGGTGGTTATGTAGACTGCATGAACTCTTTCTTAACAGAAAGAATAAAATCGAATGCAAATGAAGGTTATTTTCTATGGAAGTCCATTTCTTCCATATTATTAAAAAAATAAATAAATAAATGAAAGTAATTGTGACATTTCATCTCACAGTTCTGATTTTTTTCTTTCAATTCTCACCACAAAAAAGTCATAAATAAACAAGTGAATAAACTCAGAATTAAGAAAAGATATTGCAAGCGTTTCTGAGTATGCATCTCACAATTCTGACTTTTTTTTCCTCACAATTCTGACTTTACATATCGCAAAAAAAAACAAAAAAACTAAAAACAAAGTAATTGCGACTTCTTATCTCACAATTCGGACTTATTATCTGGCAATTTTATATCTCACAATTCAGACTTTTCTTCTCAGAATTGCGAGTTTATATCTTCCGTTTTGAGTTTATACAGTATATCGTAATTCTGAATTTATATCTTGCAATTCATAGTTTCACAATTTAGACCTTTTTTTCTTAGAATTTTGGGAAAAAAGTCTGAATTGTGAGATAAAGTCGCAATCACCTTTATTTTTTTAAACAAGTTTCTATAACTTCCAGCTACAGAAAGTGCATTAGATCTGAGCAGTTCTTCAAAGTGTGAAAGTGTAAGAATGCATGAAGTTTAAGGATTATGTGCTTTTGTTCTATTTTTTACAATTGTTGATTTTACATTGTGAGCACAGTGAGATCTTGTGTAGAAGCCAAGTCAGACTATGTGACGTCAGTGGCCTTTTATGTCAGACTTAATGTTGTCCATCTCGTTTAAGATTTTGGCAATGATTGACAGCAGTTGAAGCTAAAGTTTCAAAAGAGGGAATTGCATCGTTTTTATCAATAAAGATGATCGAGAGGAGACATTATGACATTACTGGGCAGAGAGAGGAGGACTAGAATAAAAACAAATGACAAATTCAAACGTGTGTTTCCCAAAACACACGTGTCCAACCACCACGCCACAGCTCTGAGAATATGTGGAGTTCTTTTAGGAATATTTCTTATGTTCTTTGATGTAGAAACCTTAAAGGCAATGTCCAAATCTTTCTTTACATCTAGAGATAAAGAATTAGATGCGTAACTAAAATTAACTTGATTTCTCATCAGCATCTATGAGTCAAACACACAAAACCTCTCAAAAACATCATATTTTCAGGTCCTGTCTTTTTATGCAAATTTTCAGAAAATTTCATGCAACCCCTCTAAATTCTTATTACTGTAATCAAAAAAAAATTTAAATTGTGAAGTGTTTATACATCATGCTAGTACTTATTGTACTTAAAATAAATTATGCTGATAAATAAAAAAAACTGTATTGAGATTCTAATGAGAATCACTGTTGAGAATAATGAGTTTCAAAAACAAAATGTTAATTTAAATTGTGAAGTGTTTATACATCATTCTAGTAAAAAAGTATTATATGAAGTATTGAATGAATGAGATTCTAATGAGAATCACTGTTGAGAATTATGAGAGTCAGGAAAACAATTAAAAATAAAACAACCGATTACAAATTATAATAATGAGAGTTAGGGCAGAAATGTGTTGAATTGTCATGAAAATAATGTTGCAATGCAGAAAACGTTAATGGTCCTACAGTAAGCTTCATATACTTTATGCAAAATAAAATGTTGATTTTGGGGTGATTATGATTCTGACATTTTAATCAAACGAGCGTTCCAGCATCTCCTCTGTAGTGATCCAGAACATCATCCCGAACCCAACAGATCCTCAGAATCGTACAGGAGCGTTTGATCGGCTTTGTGTTTCTGTAACGCTGCCGCTTTGTCTTCAGTCACTGCCGGATCAATTTCACAGATCCAGGTAGAAGCAGAAGAGGTGTGGAGGATTGTGTTTCAGCTTTGAACTGCAGCCGCTGTGAGGAGAGAGGATTTCCACGAGCTGTTTGATAGAGCGGCCAAAACTCTCAGTCTCTCTTGACCTGAACCACATCCAGATCCTCCGCAGTAATAGAGGAACTGCTCTGGGCACAGGTGGACCGCAAGACCATAACCGTTACTAGTTATTTATTTAGCTGTAAATTCACAGAACATACACTACTCTTTAAAATTTTGGATTAAATAGTTTGAAGTTTCTTCTTTCACAAAGGCTGCATTTATTTGATCAAAATACAGTAAAAAATTCTGAACTATTAATATAATTTAAAACAGCTGTTTTCTATGTGAATATCTGTTAAACTGTAATTTATTTCTGTGATCAAAGCTGTATTTTCAGCATCATTACTCCAGTCTTCAGTGTCACATGATCTTCAGAAATCAGTATAATATGCTGATTTGC